ATATGTTTTCTAAGTGTTTCTTTTCTATAGCAATATATCTCTACGTTTTTATCCAACCCCCACACTTCAGTTACCCATAGGGAGCTACTCTTGGTTCATAACTGATGCAGAGGAGCATGCATGAGGTTTCAGTATCCAGTCTGCATGCCAAGGATACTTTTGGCTTTGAACCTAATATTTCCAATCAGTCGATGACCTACCTCCTATCTCACGACTAACCACCGGCATCTTATAGAAGGAAATGGACCAAAATTGTTAAATGATTTGAGAAGAATGAGAAAGAAGTTAAGGTATCTCAACTGGACTGAGCATCTGTGAAATGTGCATTCATGTTAAATATTTAATTGTAAGATTTTAAGGACCTGCTGCTAAACATCTTGGTTCCCTGATACCACAGGATTAATTCAAGAGTTCATGTAAGTCCATGTCTCTGCAGGTCAGATATAATTTAATAGCACGAGGAAACAAATAAGATATTAGGCAGGTAATTTTATTGGTGTGGATAACTGGTGTTCACTAAAGTAGTGTGGTCTGCCACAAAGACACATGGATGTGATCTACAGTGATTAAAATGTCTAAAGAAAATGATGCAGTTTTTTGACATTGTAGGCAGAGCATACTTGTGATTATTTATTTTTATCATACAAAAATGTTTGCATTTTAAAGACAAAGAGAGAGGGAGGCTGGTACATGTATGTCTACAGTGTATGTGTTCTTCCTGCTGTGGAAAACACACGGACGGACAACTCCAGGCTTCCTTTTGTTTGACACCGACATCAGACAACATTGACTCTGCAGATAACATGTGGCACGCACTAGTTGATATTAGAACTGTACCATTTCCTCTCTGACTGTAATCACACTGTGTGGAACTAAACACACAAAAGAAGAGTTTGACTTCGGACACTTCCCCTGTATTAGTGGTCGCTCCCTACAGGATTTATTTAAGTTATGAGATGCTTGTCAGAGATGTGTGACGTCAGTGTATCTGACATCTAGCTTAAATTTTTGTCTTCTTTGTGTCTTGATCTTGCATTTTTCTTTTTGCAATAACATGCAGTCACAACTTATATTAATTCTTTGCTGCCATATTCAGCATCAGTGTGAACAGGACTAAGGTCAAGAAGCCGTCCTCACACCATCATCCTCTGCAAAAATAGCACCAGACTCCTCCAAACACACTCTCTATTTCTTTCTCTCTCCCCCCTCACTCTGTCACTCTCTCACACACACACATACAAACACACAAACACACTTCCTGTCATGACACGGCTGAAATGACCTGTTAGTTTAAACCCGTTCACAGCACACGCTGATGTTGGGATATTTTCTCACAGTCTTATGCAGATAGAGGCAGTCAGTAGTGCTGGGGTACAACTTGCAAACATTCAGTATGTAGGTTTGTGTGTCTGTGTGTGTAAATGGTAAAATCGTATAGTGCTTTTCTACAGCTCGTCTCATCCACACACTGTCATACAGGCCTAAGTGTGTGCCTTTCAATCTAACAAACAAAACAAGCTGTTTTTATTGGAGAGCATTAACTTTTTTATCTTCACTCATCTTAATATGATATTGGAACTTGTTACTGTGATTTTATTACTGACTCAGAGTAATGCACAGTGAAAGTGAAATGAGCACATTTAAAAGCTGTTTGATCAACAATGATAAGCACAAACAGCTCTGTTAGCTCTCAGGGTGATAGCAGGCAGTGTAACAGAAACTAGCAACGATCCCGTTGAGTCACTTTGTGCTTCATGTTACTTCGGTCAGTTTTTAGTGTTGGAGTATTGCAAGTATAGCTGCAATAACATATAAAACATTAGAAAAACATTATTCTGAAGACACTAAGTTTAAGACCAAATCTTATATCCAGACTGTGGCCTATGATCTGCTCCATTAGAGGGGCTTTTCATTGGTAGTGCTGTACACACAGTTCTTTGGAATTTCAGGTTGACAAAGTAAAGCATAATTAATCCTGCAGAAAATGTAGAAAACATTTTCTGCGTAATATGGTGGTTCTGAGAGGTTGCAAACAAATTACTTTGAATAGAATAGAATAGAATAGAATAGAATAGAATTCAACTTTATTGTCATTGCACATGTCACAGGTACAGGGCAACGAAATGCAGTTTTCATCCATCCAGAAGTGCTTTAG